ATGTGGCAGGCTGCTTCTGACTCTGCTGTCACCGTGTCGCCGAGCACAGTCCTGGGATGTCTCGCTGCCTGCATCTGTCCTGCTCGTTTCTGAGCTGGGCTGGGCTGGGAAAATCCCAATCCACGTCACCCAGCGGGTGCTGCTGGCCGGTTTCTGCCTTGGTCCAGGCCTGCTTTGAGGACAGCTGGAGTAGGACACCCCTGTGCCACAGATGGCAGAATGAACCTGATTAAAATTAAGGTGATTGAAATCACCTTCTTGCCTTGAAGATGTCAGAATGCCACAGGGCCAGACCTGGAGCCTGGCAGGGACCTGCTGGGGGTACTGCCTGCAGCGGAACAACGCTGCCACACCGTTTTCTCCCTGGCTGTGGCCTGCTTGCCCAGCTGGCCGGCCCACCCGTGCTTCAGCCGTGTTAACAGTGCTCACCTGGCAGGACTACAGTGTTTGGTACTGTACTGTACAACAGCTGGGCTGCTTGATTTCCATATGCAAAGGGGAAGCAGCAATTTCTGGTTGTGGCCAGAGTCCACTTGAATCCCTCAGAGTAATTCTGGGGCTTCCTTGTTCCCTGGGAAAGCAGCAATTGCTTTGTAGTTGGCAGGAGCCACCCCTCCTGCCCAGCCCGCGTGACGGGGCCGAGAGCAGCGCTGCCTTTCTGTCTCTCCGGTTCCCACCAGATTCACCTGCCCTGCCGCAACCTGTGCTCTTGTTCGTGGCCTGATGAGAGCAGGTTGCAAGTGTCCCGTTTAATTGGCATGATCTGTGTCCCCTGCGTTGAGCTCCTTGAACTGCGTGTGCATTCAGGCTCGCATTCCTCAGCCGAGGAGTGGGCGCTGCAGACTCATGCCCCAGCGAGTGGGTGATGCTTCCGTCCCTCTTCCTAGAGCTGCTGCTGGACTGGAAGCAGAACGCTGACGAGATCATCGTCAAGTTGAACTTGGGCAGTGGAGCTCTGAAGGTGGAGGATGTGGATGCTGCTTTCACCGACACGGACTGTGTGGTCAAACTACCAGGTATGGGGAACAGAGCGGCTGCTGCAGGCGTTTCTTCCGCGGGGCTTGGCGCAGCTCTGGGCTAGACGTGGGGCTGATCCAGGCAGGCATAAAACCTTGCCTTCAGAGGCAATGCCCTGCTGTCAGCTGGCACAGCCTCAGCCAGCAGGCAGGGCTGATATGAGAGCAGCGTAAAATAAGAAGGGTGTAGAGCTGGAGAGGGCAGGAGCTGGCCTCTGTGCCAAGTGAACAAGTGCCCACTGCTGCGTCTCTGTCCCCTGCTCGCTGGGATGACTGAGTCGGCCCTGGGTATCCCTTGGAAAAGTGGCTGTTCCCGTGAGGGCAGGGAGGCCCAGGGCCTTCCTTCTGGGAAGGAGGCCAGCCAGATGTACAAAGCAAGTCTGGGGAAGCTGCCTGAAGCCTTGAAGGCTCCTGGGGTATGGTGGCAGCCTGCCCACAGCCTCCTTGGCTCTGGATGAGTGCTCCCTTGATCGCTGGGGCAGGTGAAAGGGGCTGTGGGTTAGGTGACAGCTGCCTGGAGCACAGCCTGAGGTACGGTCCCCTCCTGCTTGCAGATGGGCGCCAGTGGAGCTGTCAGTTCTATGAGGAGATTGAGAGCTCCTGCAGCAAGGTCCAGTGCAAGAAGGGCAACTTTCTACAGCTTGTGCTTCAGAAGAAGATCCCACTCCATACCTGGTCTTCGCTTCTGGTGAGGAGGGGGAGGATCTGCCTTTTGAGGGAGCTTACGGAGCCCCAGGGAGCTGGAGTGAGGGTTTTGCTCCCTGCTCTTGAGCTGCCCAGGGAGCACCGTGGGACACATCCTACATCCACGTGCTGTGTGAGGGCAGTGAGCCAGCTGCCTGTCCCAGGGAGGGGGTGTCATCGTACCCCTGTTCCTGCCTGCCACATAGCTCCAGGTTGTGGAGCAGAGACCTGATGCGCTCTGGGAAGGGGGAGTGAGGGTGAGGGGGTGGCAGAGAGCGTGAGGGGTGCTGCTACCTGGATATCTTCCCACTGTGCTGCGCTGCTTTTCACAGAAGAGAAGGAAAGATGGATCCAAAGAGCTGGCCAAGGGGGCCACGTGCTGGGAGAACGGGAAGGAGAAGGCTGCTTCTGCAGAGCTGGCCCCTGAAGAGCCGAGGGCTGAAGGCGCAGAGCTGCCGAGGTCCCGGCGAGAGCCCTCCAACCCCAAGCGTGCTCCGGGAAGAAGCGAGACCCTGGGAGGGAAAAGCCCAGCCAGCCCAGGGACCCAGAGCGGCCCCAGCGCCAAGCGGGCGGTATACCTCAAAGTGGCTCCCACTGACGAGGAGCCGAATGCCAG